CGGCAACATAACAGACTTTATTTTATTGTTAAGTTCCCAGGATGGTCTCAAACTCATAGGCTCAAGTGATCCTCCCACCGTGGTTTCCTGAGTGCTGGTCCTACTGAATCCAGCTAAAAGATCACAGGGACTCAGAAGATGTCCCTGTTTTACCCCTCACTAGCTATGTGACCTTGGAGGACACTATCGTACCCTGAGAGGCTGTTTTCACAATTATAAAGTGAGCTGATTGGGCACCAGGACCTCTATAATCCAGTTCTAAAATTCAAAAATGAACTCAGTCTCTCACTGTCCAAGTGCAAAAGCCTCATATCAGATGTCAGTCTAGGATCTAGTTACAAAGGTCTACCTATTCAGAGAAAGCATAGAAAGGAGCGAAGGTAAATAGCCTTATGGTTTAGCAGTAATCTAATGACAAAACATAATACTTTATATTTTATGAGGCTGTACAATTACAACAACCTGGCACATTGTGGAGAAGAGATTCCTTGCTCCCTGGGAGTATATAAAACTACAAAACACAAAGATGTACCGGTAATTATAGTTTATAATACCTTAAAATACATATAAACCCAGGACTATGTGTCATACATGTTTCATTATTGGAAACAAAATTCTTTTCAGGCAAATTCTCAGGTCTCTATAAGTTGATCTGCCTCTGAGCAAGAACAAATTATAGAAAGATGTATAATCAGACTTTCTGATGACTCTGCCTGTGTAAGTCCCATATTATCAGATCACTAAAGCTCAAGTGGTCACTTATTTTAAATTTCTTGCCTGTAATCTTCACAATATACCTGACAGGAGAAGGATGCTGCAGGAATTTTCCACTGAGTAAAAGAAATCATTAAGAAGAATAATATTTATTTATTTTGGGGGGAGGGGACTGGGGATTGAACTCAGAGGTTCTTTACCACTGAGCTATATTGAAAGCTCTTTTTATTTTTTTTATTTTAATACAGGATCTCACTATACTGCTTAGGACATAGCTAAATTGCTGAGGCTGGCCTAGAATTATTGATATCTCCTGTCTCAGCTTCCAAGGTCACTGGGATTACAGGCATGCACTACTGCACTAGCAAGAGGAAAACTTAGAAAAGATCAATGACGACAAGCATTTAAATGAATGCCTTAGGAAAGAAATTTGAGATTTGTTTAATCTTACACCAGATTGAGAATAAGAATATCCAGGATCCTAGATCCTAGACTGACTCCAAAGGAAGTGGAGACTTCCTTCTCCATAGCTACCCTCTAGGAAGCTGGTGGGTCCCAAGTGTATATTCTTTCACTGTGCTACCCAAGGGTGAAAATCAAAATAACGCAGTACTACATCTGTTAAGCCAGGGTGAAGTACCTACCCCCACCCTCCAAAAGCATAGGTCTTGGATCTCACATCCTGTCTGGTTTAAGCCACATCCTTAGATAGCACCTAAAATTGCATCATCCTCCACCTTGTGGAGGCATCTTTTCCTTTAAATGAACGGCAAGTCACCATTAAAAGTGGTTCCCAAAATAACCCAGTGGTTTCATTGCCATCGGAATATCTGACATCAAGACTGAGGAAGCGGATGCATCTCCTCCGAGGGGGAGGGACCGCAGTGTTACCCTTCACACTTGACTCTACTCAGTTACTCAACAGGAACAGCTGCCAAACCCAGGAACTTAAAAATCCAGACAATGGGTTACATTCCTCACCTCCTAATTATTTAAAAAAATTAATAAATAGCTTCACATGAACAGAATGAGTTTTAGGCAAAGGGAACTAAAGATAGTAAAAACATTTGATCATTTGATAGGGGCTGGGGACATAGGTAGGGTGCTTGCCTTGCATGCACAAGGCCCTGGGTTCAATCTCAAACACACACACACACACACACACACACACACACACACAAAAAAAAAAAAATTGATAAAGAGCCAGAACCAGAACTCTCTCATTAGAGTGTAGGAAAATGTGGTAGTAAAGATTAAAAACCAAAAAAAAAGGGCGGGGGGGACGGTGGAACTTTTTCATATGGAATAACTTCTGTTTGCAATACTCAGAAGTGTTTTAGTTTTGAATTTCCTACTGAACTTTTCATAGCATGAGAATAAAAGAATCTTAATTTGTAAAGGGACAAATATGGACTTGCCTCTAAAATAAAACTCATAAATTGATTATATCAAAAAACTGATTCTATAATACCAACTGCATTCAATACAGTTGCAGATGAACACAGGAGTCTATCATATAACCAGATTATCATTGAGTAGTATATCATGAATGGTTTTTATTATCTTTTTTTTTTTGGTACTGAGGATTGAACTTGGGGGCACTTCACCACTGAGCCACATCCCCACCCCCCACCCCCCTTTTTTTTTTTTTGTATTTTATTTAGAGACAAGATCTTGCTGAGTTGTTTAGGGCCACACTAAGTTGCTGAGGCCAGCTTTGAACTTTCGATCCTCTGGCCTCTGCCTTCTGAGGATTGCAGGTGTGCAGCACCGCGCCTAGCAGTTTTTATTACCTTTTAAGTTCTTCTCTGGCTCTCCTCTCCCACATAAGCTGATACTAATATTTTAAAAACATAACACTTGAAATGAAAATTATAAAATACTTAGAAGACACAAAGGGCCTTTGAGAAAGGCCTATATTATTCTTTCAATGTAAAAAACAAAACAGAATAAAACTATATTTGGGTCAATTCGCCTACTTTTTAGGATTAAAAAAAAATGCACAGTGGCACATGTCCATGATTCCAGCAATTTGAGAGGCTCAGGCTGTAAAATGTTAAGTTCCAGGTCAGTCTGGGCAACTTAGCAAGACTCTGTCTCAAAATAAAAACTAAAAAGGGCTGGAGATGTATGTAGCTCAGTGGTCCAATGTCACTGGGTTTAATCCCCAGTAACACCAAAAAGTAAATACAAATGTTTTTTAGTTTGATCCTGAGTATCACACACACAAAACTTTTTTCCAAAGAATTTCCCTTTTTCTAGAAATTGTTTTACTAAAGGATACCATACAGACAGAAAAGTGCATGGATTATAATGGGACCAGTGCCCTTGAAAGTCATTTCATTTCACCTTCCTGTTGCACCCACCTAGAAAATAAGTACTACACCAACTTCTATCACCAGAGATGAGTTTTGCCAGTTTTGAACTTTACATAAAAAAGTAGTATTACTAGGGCGCAATGGTGTCTGCCTGTAATCCCAGTAGCTCAGGAGGCTGAGGCAGGAGGATGGCAAGTTCAAAGCCAGCCTCAGCAACTTATAGAGGCCTTAAGCAACTCAGTGAGATCCTGTCTCTAAATAGAATATTAAAAAGGGCTGGGGACGTGGCTTAGTGGTTAAGTCCTCCTGGGTTCAATTCCCAGGCCCACCCCCAAAAAGTATCACTTTCTTGTGGCAAAAGCTAAAAGTTACACTGATATCTCCAATTCAAATATAACAGTTTTCTGACTTGTATTTGGTCGGGGATGGTTATAGGGGATTTAACCCAGAGGTGCTTAACCACTGTGTCACATCTCCAAACCTTTTTATACTTTGAATTTTGAAACAGGGTCTTGTTAAGTTGGTTAGGGCCTTGTTAAGTTGCTAAGGGTGGCACTGAACCTCTGATTCTCCTGTTTTAGCCTCAGGAGTTTCTGGGATTACAGTCTTGCACCATGGCATCTGGCTGTATTTAATTCTCCCACAGTGAGAAAACTGGCTCCATCATATTTGATATTTATCTAGTTATTTGATCAACCATAATGATGTAACAAATCTCCCATCTAAAGCTGCCAGGCCTCCCCAGTTTGATTGCCTTGCTCTCCCCATTTGGGCTCTAGTGCAAGCCCTCTTCACCTTCTCAGATTTCTATAGCCTCCTTACCTGCTAGGTGGCTGACACCTGGCTTTGGACCTCCACTTGCACATCCTTACTTTGTTGTGTTTTTTCTTTTGTTTTGTTTTTTGTTTTTGATACCAGGGATTGAACCCAGGGGGCTTAACCACTGAGCCACAACCCAAATAACACCCCCCTCCCCGCGTTTTTTGATTCCAGGGATTGAACTCAGGGACACTCGACCACTAAGCCACATTCTCAGCCCTATTTTGTATTTTATTTAGTCTCAGGGTCTCACTGAGTTGCTTAGTGCCTCACTTTTGCTGAGGCTGGCTTTGAACTCGCCATCCTCCTGCCTCAGTCTCCCAAGCAGTTGGGATCACAGGCGTGTTCCACCACATCAAGCCCCAGCCTTTAAAAAATATTATATTTAGAGAAAGAGTTTTGCTGAGTTGCTAAGTGCCTTGCTAAATTGCTGAGGCTGGCTTTGAACTTGCGATCCACCTGACTCCCGAGCGCTGGGATTACAGGCGGGCATCATCACACCGGCCTTATTTTGTTCTGCACCTAATGTCCCTCCCGCACCCCACCCTTCCATACTGGGGATTGAACCCAGGATTGCACTACCAGTGAGCTCCATCTCCAGCATCACCCCCTGCCTTTTTTTGAGATAAGGTCTAAGTTTACCAGGCTGGCCTCAAACTTCCCATCTTCCTGCAGTAGCTTCACGAGTTGTTGCGATTACAGGCATGCACCATCATGTCAGGATTTTAAATTTATTTATTTATGAGACAGGGGTTTGCTAAGTTGTTGAGGCTAGCCTGGAACTTTCAATCCTCCTACCTCAGCCTCCCAAGTCCCGGCCTGATAGTTTTTTCAGGCTTTAAAAATTATCAATTTGCTCTGAAAAAAGGTTGCATTGATTTACTATCATCAACAATGCGTATCCACCTTTCTATACTCGGTAGTATTAACAGGAAAATCAGTCTCTCTCTCTCTCTCTCTCTCTCTCTCTCTGTCTCCCCCCTAGTTCGGCGCAAGGAGTGTCTCCATTAGTTTTATTTTTTCCTACGTCGCCCCTCTTGATAAGAGAATAGGTTCTTTTCCTTATTTTGTAATTTCGTTTCCATCAAGATAACTTTTCCCGAGGGAGGAGAGGATCCCCAGGCTCTCATAGGAGGAGGCGCGCAGTACCTGGCCCTGAGAATCTCACGCACAGCTGGAACCAGGAGCCTGGACACTAAACCTCTCTTTTCCAGTGGGTTTATCTGGTGCCTCCAGGCAGCAGAGGGCGCCGTGGAGCCTGAGCCAACCCGGCTCCCAGGCGGGCGCACCGCGCCCCCGTGACGTATTTCCGCGTCATCTGCCGTCGTTATTTGCTTCCATTGGCTGTCGGAGAGGCAATGGGGCGGAGCCATTTGGGGGTGAAGACAGCGCCGCGGCCAGGGTGGGGGCGAGGCTTCCCCCTTCCCCGCCCCTCCCCCGCCCTCCAGTCCCTCCCAGGGACGGCTGCGCGGAGCTCCTAGGAGCGCGGTGGCGCCTGCACTTTCCCGGGCCAGGGCTGGAGCAAGGTTCTGCTGCCCGCGCGGCGGGGCTGCCCGAGCCGGAGGGACCCGCTGACTGAAGGAGAGAGGGAGGGAATCCCAGCTTGCCGAGCGCACGCAGCCCGCTCCGAGCCGGCGGGGCAGCCCTTTTGCTTCTTGCGCGCGGATTCCGGGAGGGTGGGGTGGGGGTCCC